CACGACGAAAATGCAACAATAGGCTTTATTTTGCCGGTGCCGCGGCTGCCGCGGGCGGGCCAGTGCCGGCACTGGCAGGTCTGTGATCAGCTGCTGCTGCACAGCCGGTTGAACACCTGTCGCCAGGCGGTGGCCTCGGCCCGCGCGGGCGCGGGTATCAGCTGATAAGCCGCGACGCTACGCCCCGCCACGCCGCGCCGCGCCGCCGCAGCGCGCCGAGGCTGAGACAGAAGGCACCGCACATCGCACTCCCCGCCGTGTCGCGAAATGAGACGAGCGCACGGCGCAGCAGAGAGCGGGGCGGGCGCATGTCGCTCTGTTATTGCCGAGCGCCATGTTGTTTTGAGCCGCCGCGCCGGAAACAATACTGCATAAAACCGCAAAACCGAGTGGGAATGGCCGGAAGGTCCGAGCTGCGCTAGCGGCGCGGCCATGGCGCGAGCTCCGACTCGACACACCCCCTCCCTCCCCTCTGGTCTCGGGGCGCGCCTGGTGTCGCTCTCATTGCCGAACCTTTGGGCCTTTGGGGTGCGACCGAGGCGGAGGGGAGGCGATCGCAACCGATTTCGCGATCATCTCGATGTCCGCCCGGCCCAGCCCGCGCCCGCAGCCCATGGCGAACCTGCCGGAGACGTCGCTGCGCCCCCCGAGCCCTTCTAGGCCGCCCCAGGCACAGCCGGGCCCGCGGGGAGCTGCTTGCTGCCAGGGTTCGTCGGCCGCCGTACAATCTATTCCGTTCGATCCGGGAAACGCTCTGCCTCACACCGTGCATGCACAGGGCCATAAATGTGCACCGCGTTTTCTATAAACGGTTTACCGACGAAGGTATACAAGCGAGCCGCGAGACGACGTGCTATGTTGCCTGTGCGTCGCACCACTGGCGCTTGTTTTGTTTTTTCTCCCCGAGCGAGTATTCGTAAAGTGACAGCTTTGCGTTCTGGGTTGCGCTACTGGGTAGAAGGTAAGGGCGCCGACAGCAGCGTTGTTGCCGCATATGGCTCGGTGCCTCCTATACAATGGATCGGTACGTGTAGATGGATAGATGGGTGGTGAGACGGTTTGTGGGGCTCGGCGGGTGTACGTGGGCGAGGGGGCGGGGGGAGGAAAGACTACCTGTAAATTAGATTTGCGGCTGCTGCAGCTCGGTGGTATTGAGGACGAGCCGAGCCCTGCAGTGGTGCGGCCCGCGGCCCCCGGCCCCTCGTCCTGCTGCTCACGGAACACTTTGGCACGCGTCCTGCACGGCTCTCGCCGGTGGGCCGCCCGACCGAGCCGAGACCCGCGGCCGCGGCGAGGCGACGAGCTGCGTGTCAGCGGCACCGGCGGCGGGGAAAGTGGAGGGAAGCGTCCCGTCGTCGTGTATAATTGCACACCGCTAGCTGCTTCTGTCGAAGACGAAAAATGCGAGCACCGAAGGAAAGCAAACATGGGGAAAAATTGTCGTCCAAGCTGGGGTCCCCCCCTGGATCCACCACACCTCACGTCCCCCTGCAGGGGCACGGGGGTGGGGCCGAGCCACCCCGTAGGGGTTGGAAAAGGGCGGGGCTGCGGGGGTAAATAGGTCAGTAAGGCTGTCCTGCCCCGGCCGAGGCCCGGCGGCGCCACGCTCTGAAGGGCAGCGGGGCGGGCGTGCTGCAAGGCGCAAGGCTCCGGTGCCCCGCCCGCCCCGCCGCGGCGTGGTGCCGTGCCGTGCCGCCCCGAGTTGCTCAATTCCTTCATCCCATTCTCTCGACCTCTCCCCGCCCCGCTCCCCCCGGAGGGTGTCACAGACGGTCTGCTCTATCTTTTAAAAAGAGGAAAGAGAATGAAATAGATCAAAAACAATAACGAAACTAACTGATTTCCTGCCGGAGTTTCTCTCATTTTGCATAGCTCATGCACAAACGTTTCACTTCCATGTAAGAATTCCTAAAGAACTATTTTTCGGCCGTGCCTCCATTGAGGGCGATGAGCTGGCGGCCAGGCGGGCTGTGCCACCCCATTGATTGGTGTGGCCACCGCCACGCCCTGCTGCCCTGCCCCGACCCGACCCGCCCTCCGGCCTGAGACTTACTGTACTGGCCTGTCGTCGTGGACGGGTCGGGTCACCAGTCGCAACCTTCTGGGCCATTGCTGCCCCCTTCCCTTGAAGACGAGCTAAATTACGCCATTTTCAGAGGGCTTTTTTCTCTCACGGTTCTTTATTCAAACTCGCACCTTACATATAACAGTTTCCCGAGGGCGTTAAGGGAGACGGTTCAGTAAAAAGTATATCTCACTCGATCTCACCCCACGCCGTGACGTTGAGTGCAGCGCTGCGCCCCGTGCCTTGTGCAGTGCCAGCTGGGTGCTAGCGCCTGCGGGACGCGGGGTAGGCAGCCCGCGCGGAGCTGGCCGTGGCGGGCTGCCTACCTCGCGCCTGGAGGCCGCAGCGGCAGGCGGCAGGGGCGGCAGGCAGAGCAACAGAGTAGCTCCCGCGCTCTGTTTCCGCTAATGGCCGTGATGTAACGCTGCTGCTGCTGGGCTGGACGCGGATGGAGCAGGCAAGGCGTGACTGCGTGACTCTGCGTTGGACTGCGGGGGAGAGGGGGGAAGGGGGTGGCTTTCTTCCATTGTATTGTCTGGTCGGCCGCAGCGGGCCGGACACCGCCGAGCTGGACCAGGGAGGCTGTGCACTTTATGCTCCTCTCGTGACGCAAGCGGGCCGAGGCGATATCAGGGCTGTACGGCTCGGCGGCTGGCTATTGGCTCGGCCGCTCGCGGCCGCCGCAGACTGCTAGTTAACCCTTTCCTTTCACTGCGCGAATGTCGCCGTGCCGCTGACAGGGGCGGCGGGCCCGCGACCACGCCCCTGCTCGGCCCGCCGTACGCAATCTGCTGCAGCGAGCGTGTCCCGAGCCGATGTGATCGGCCCCGCGCCCTAGCCATGGCCCTAGCCCTAGCTGACGATAAGCCCTTTGTGGCGGGCGCGGCCGTGGCGTTACCGCACCGCTGTCACGCTTGGCGGCCCGCTCGCCCCCTCGCGCCCCGCCCGCCCCGCCCCTCCGTCTGTTTTGCTCTGGTGCAGAAAGTGTGGAAGATGCTCACGCAGAGCGAGTACAAGCCGCCCGCCGGGTGAGACAACTCGGTAACTCTGCGCGCGCGCTGATTCCACCCGCCCCACCCCGCCCCCGCGGTACAAGGAATATAATCTTCCTGTCTACGGGTCGGGTGCGTCGCGCTGTACCGAGGTGAGATGGTGCGGTCGCGCTGCGGCGGGCGGGGCGGGGCGTGTGGCATTTCGACAGGTAGGGCCGGGACGTCGTGTTAGCGCGTCGCCGTGGAGGGCGCGGAGGCCCAGCAGCGGCAGCGGCAGTAGTGTTGTGTGCACCACCAAGTGCCTGTGTGGGCGCTCATGGGGTAATGCGCACGGATATCATTCTCGCGTTTTCAAGTTGTGTCCGACTGTACCGGACCGGGGGTTTCATGCGGACACTGCAGTGTTGCGGATTGCATACTCTAGAACAGCAGGGGCTGTGGCGTCTTGCGAGCGAAGGGAGTAAGGGAGTAGGCAAACCCGCAAAACTGAACTTGCAAGAATTTTTCCGTCAATTTGTGGGCTACCATGACACATTTTGCAACCGTTGAGTTAACTCGTGGCCTAATGTCTGCAATTCATTTAAGCAACATGTGCAAAATCACACATAAGTGTGCAGTATTTGCACACTTGTTTTACCCGTGCCGGTCGGTTGCCTAACTTTCATCAATGGGAGACTTTCGCGCCAGAGCAACGCACAAGCGCCTGCCTCCGTGCTGGGGGGCTGGCTCTGCTGGCTCCTTACGCCGCAGGGGGCGCGTAACAGCGGAGAGGCGGAGCTGGTAACTCGGGTAATGAGAGGGCTCTGCCTGCAAGTCTACTCGCACTCTAACGTCATACCTTTCTTTATTGCCCGCCCTCGTTTTTCCTTGTTGGTTCTTTTTATTATAATAATATTTCGGACTGTGCAGTGCCAATGGTCGTTATGGACGCTGGGCGGCGCATCCGCCCGGCAGGTAGAATAGAAAAGAGGGGGAGGAGGGGGGCAAAGGGCAATGCCAGTGCCCTTTTGTGGAGCGAGCGCGGCTGGCGCGTGTGCACCGGTGTGCACTGCATGTGACGGAATGAGGAAAGTGGCGTGCATACAACAATAGGCGGGACGGTCAGTGTTATTTTGTTATTCTTATCGCGTTGAGTGAAAAAAAACTGTCTTTCTGGAGATCGAGATTATATACACATTACACACCGGCCGGAAACCCAAGTGTGTGAATGTCGCACACTTATAGGTGCGTGAACGCTATTTGTACACATGGTGACACAAGTCTGTGAATTTGGTAAATTCACACCTTTGGTCCTTTAGGCATTCACAGAGAGGGTGTGTCATTCACACACTTGCACAGTAAAACTCATACTTTCCTCTTCTGGTTTTCAGAATGGAACGACAGCGCGTATGGATTCCAGACGCGGCGGAGGGCTTCATCGAGGGCATCGTCGTGGACTTAGGTCTGGACGAGGTGACGGTGGAGCCCTTGGACAGGAAGAAGGGCAAAGCAGTGACGGCCACCTTGGACAGGGTGTACCCGGCTGAGGTGTACGACAGCAAAGATGTGGACGATAACTGTGAGTACTGACTCACCTCTCCCGACTTTTCTAACGCCCCCGCTTTTCGGGGAAATGTGGGAAGTACTGACCTCTGCTTGTGATTGTCATGCTAGGTTCACTCATGCACCTGAATGAAGCAACCCTACTCAATAACATTCGGATGCGATACAAGAAGGATAAAATATATGTAAGTGTACCTAGTATGAGTTGCGAAACTTTTGTGCTTGGGTAAAATGTTTACTAATTGTTACCTATGCTTTCTTCTTCTAGACGTATGTGGCAAATATATTAATTGCTGTAAATCCCTATTTTGAAATTAAAAACTTGTACTCCAGCCAAACTATTAAGAGCTACCAAGGGAAGAGTTTGGGTGTAATGCCACCTCATGTATTTGCCATAGGTAAATTTATATTCCTTGTATTCCTGGATTCTTTGTGTTGTTTTTTATCTCTGTATTTAACTAAAGTAAATTTTCAGCGGACAAGGCATTTCGTGACATGAAAGTGCTGAAACAGTCACAGTCTATAATCGTCTCTGGAGAATCTGGTGCCGGTAAAACTGAATCAACTAAGTATCTTTTAAGGTATCTTTGTGATTTGTGGGGATCAGCAGCAGGCCCTATTGAACAACGCATTTTAGATGGTAAATATTGAGAGTATACCCTTTCCTAATTGGTTTATTTTGACACCCTGATGATAACTTTTTTTTATCTTTTCTTTTAGCCAATCCTGTTCTTGAGGCATTTGGAAATGCGAAAACAACTCGAAACAACAACAGTAGTCGCTTTGGGAAGTTCATGGAGGTACACTTTGACTCTCGATGTCAAGTGGTTGGTGGTTTCATATCCCACTATCTTCTTGAAAAATCAAGAATTTGTGGGCAAGCAGCAGAAGAAAGAAACTATCATGTTTTCTACCAGCTGTGTGCTGGAGCTCCTGAGTCACTTCGTAAGAAATTTGACATCACAAAACCAGATGATTATCATGTGAGATTTAATTTATTATGCAGTTTTCTTGTGAGTCTTTTATTTTATTTTTTAATAAGTGTACTAAATGAGTGCTTTGCCTTTGTTTCCTTCTAGTATCTTAGACATGGTTGCACGCAATATTTCACTTCTTCAACCACAGAGAAGAAACTATCTGCCAATCAGAAAAGTAGTGCCCATAGTAAGAGTGGATCATTGAATGATCCATTATTGGACGACATTGATGACTTTCAATCTATGGACCAGGCTTTAGTGCGGCTTGGTCTTGCTGAAGAAGAAAGGCTAAATATATATGCAATGGTCGCGGCTGTTCTTCACCTTGGAAATGTGTGTTTTGAAGATAACCCTGAAGATACTAAAGGTGGTTGTCAAGTGACAGGGAGCTCTGAAAAATCTCTTTCTACTGCTGCAAATCTAATGGGAGTTGATCCAGAAGAAATGAGACAGGCTTTAGTCTCAAAAGTAATGATGACAAACCGTGGTGGTCTGAAAGGCACTGTCATTATGTGAGTCTGAACCTGTCCTTTTACTGTTTTTAATTAATTTTATTAGTCTTAACTTTTTTGTCTGATGCTTTTTATTTATTTGTTTTTAGGGTTCCTCTCAAAATTTATGAGGCTAACAGTGCACGTGATGCCCTTGCCAAAGCAATATATAGCAAATTGTTTGACTACATTGTGCAACGAATTAACAAGAGTATACCTTTCAAAGCGTCCAGCTATTACATTGGCGTTCTGGATATTGCTGGGTTTGGTACTGTCTTCAGCCATAATTTAACAAGTTTATTGAAACTTACAAAAACAAATATTTCTATAATAAAGAAGTTTTTTTTCTTTTTTTAGAATACTTCACTGTCAACAGCTTTGAGCAGTTCTGCATCAATTACTGTAATGAAAAGTTGCAGCAGTTCTTTAATGAACGAATTCTTAAGGAGGAGCAAACTTTATATCAAAAAGAAGGGTTACAAGTGAAAAAAATTGAATTTGTTGATAACCAGGATTGCATAGGTATATATCATATGCTGATTTTAATTATTCAAAACAATCTTCTTGCCTTATTACATTTTAATAATCTTTTTTCATTTGATTTTGCAGAAATGATTGAAGCAAGTAAAATTGGCATTTTCAGTCTATTGGATGAAGAATCAAAGCTCCCTAAAAGTGTAGCTACTCACTTCACCACCGAAGTTCACAGTCAGTGGAAGAATCATTTTAGATTAGGCTTACCCCGAACATCCCGCTTGAAAGCACACAGGGAAATTAGGGATGATGAGGGCTTCCTTATTCGTCACTTCGCAGGAGCTGTTTGCTATCAAACCGTGAGTCTAAATCTTGATATTTTGATTTGAAAGGTATACTCTCAAAATTTCTTCTTCCTTAAAAATGAAATTTGTTTTTATTTTTCTCCTTTATTAATTTTAGGCTCACTTTATTGATAAAAATAATGATGCGTTGCATGCATCCTTAGAAGGATTAGTTCAAGAGAGCAAGAACAGCTTCCTACAAAACTTATTTGCCAATTCTGCTGTGCCTGCTGCACAGAAAGGCAAACTAACTTTCATAAGTGTTGGAAACAAGTTCCGTCAGCAGCTAGGAGAACTAATGGACAAATTAGGAAGTACTGTGAGTAACTTTTTCTCCCCTGTAACTCTTACCTCATCTACTTTATCGAAGATCAATTGCACTACAGCATATATTTTCTTTTGATTTCTAGGGTACAAATTTTGTGAGATGTATTAAACCCAATCATCGTATGGTGGCACATGACTTTGAGGGAGGCTCAATTTTATCACAGTTGCAGTGCTCAGGAATGACCAGTGTATTAGAGCTTATGCAGCAGGGATTCCCTTCACGGGCACCATTTAGTGAATTGTACAACATGTATCGTAGTGCTTTGCCTCCTGAGCTGGCACGTCTTGACCCAAGACTCTTCTGCAAGGTATTTGTTTTTAACCAAGGAAAATATATGGATAGAAAGAGTTGGTTGAAAAAGTCAGTTGATTGAATATTTATGTTCATTTTAGGCACTATTTCGGGCTTTGGGCATGAATGAAAATGATTATCGTTTTGGTGTCACCAAAGTTTTCTTCCGCCCTGGTAAATTTGCAGAAGTTGATGCTATTATGAGGTCAGAGCCTGAAAATCTTGCAGCTATGATAAAGAAGGTGAAAGTATGGCTTCTGATCTCTCACTGGAAGAAGGCACAGTGGTGTGCACTTTCTGTTATTAAATGTAAGTCAATGTCTTTGCCCAGAGGAACACATATCTGATTAGTTTAGTATCTTCATGTTGAAATTAATATCTTTTCAGTGAAGAACAAGATTCTGTACCGCAGAGAATGTCATGTAACTATTCAGAAGAACATTCGAATGTATCTAGCTAAAAAGCATCACCGACCTAGGTACCGTGGAATTATGAAGATCAACAGTTTGCAGGTAACCCACAAAAAAGAAACATGATTTGCATTCATTGCTATTCATTTAAGTTATTCTTTCATTGATGGAAGTTTTCCTTCTCTTTATGTAGTCCATGTTAAGCCGTATGCAAGAAATAATTAAGCAAATGAAGAAGGATCGTGAAGCCAGTGAGTCTCAGGTCAAAGCTCTCCACGATGACATGACGTCAGCTATAAGAAAAATAAAAGTAAGTACCTTCTATAAAATGTTTCATTCAGCTTATGAAGAACTTGTAGGCAGTTCCCTTATTATATGCCGTGTTTCTTACTTCAGACAAATCCTAAGATAAGTGGTGCAGAAGTAGATGGACTTTATACACAACTTATGAATAAGGCCAATGCACAAATGGGTGCTCTCCAAGCAAAACTGGAACTACAGAAAAGTGCAGAGGAGCAGGAGAGATTGCGTAGGATCCAGCAAGAAATGGAAGAAGAGAAAAGGAGGAAAGCTGATGAAGAAGCAGCTCAAAGAGCTCAGGAGGAGGACCGCAAAAAGTTAGTTTGTCTTAGATTTGTTTTACCTTCTAAGAACTCTGACATCCTAACTCTAAATTGCCTTTTCATTTTCAGAAAGCAGGAAATGGAAGCCAGGCGGAAGATTGAGGAAGAACAAAGGAAAAGGCAAGAAGAGGAAGACAAAAAGACTGCAGCAGCTCTTCAAGCCCAGCTGGAACAAGAGGCTATGGCCGATGCAAGGTTCCGAGATCAAATGGAACAGGAGCGTAGAGATCATGAATTGGCTTTAAGATTGGCTCAGGAAACTAATGGTCAACTTGAAGATGTGTCACCACCTATGAGAAGGTATGTCATTGTACATTCTTGACAACTTTGTTTAAGGTTTGTTTGTAATCAACTTACTTTAAATATGATCTCTAATTACGAATTTTTTCAATTTTTGACCTTTAGATCAGAAAGCACTCGAACATTAGATGGAGCAGAAAAAAATAAGTTTGATCTGTCCAAGTGGAAGTATTCAGAGCTACGAGACACTATTAATACATCCTGTGACATCGATCTGTTAGAGGTGATAATTCTAAATACCAAATCTAGTTTCAGTGTGTATTATACATCTACAAAAGTATTGACTTTGCTCTGTCATATTTTACAGGCTTGCCGTGTTGAGTTTCATCGCCGACTAAAGGTGTATCATGCCTGGAAAGCAAAGAATAGGCGTCGCACAACAATGGAAGAAAATGAGAGAGCCCCTCGATCAGTTATGGATGCAGGTAAACTAAAATTTTGTAATTTCCTTTGAGTGTCCTAGAAATGACAAAAAGTAATTCTGCTACTGTTATTGCATAGCTGCTCGCGCTCCCAGGTCACAAGTGAAGTCACCTGTAGTTCCAACCAGCTCTCAGCGTTTTTTCCGTATTCAGTTTGTTCGTCCATCGGCCAATCAGAGTTCAGAAAATGGCCAGAGTAATGGTCACACAGATGTTGGAACTACTGGCTATTCAGAGGGAAGGAGAGGTTGGTGGTATGCACACTTTGATGGGCAGTTTGTTGCCCGTCAAATGGAACTGCATCCAGATAAAGCTGCCATATTACTAACAGCAGGTGAGGCTTTATACTCTTGCACTTAGGAAGAAATTAAGCTTTCACTTCCCCAATTTTTTTACTAAAACAAAAATTGTATTTAGGTTTGGATGATATGCAGATGTGTGAGTTAAGTCTTGAAGAGACTGGCTTGACAAGGAAACGGGGTGCTGAAATATTGGAACATGAATTTGAAAAGGAGTGGGAAAAACATGGAGGAAAGCCGTTCATAAGAATGGCACGAAACAATAAGTAGAAAATTTTATTTGAGGAGAAGATTTATTTAATAACTGTGATGACTGTAAGTTCACTTTCTGTGTTGTTTGGCAGAAGAGATGTGGAGTCTCTACTTTGTTCATTATAAGTTTTGGTTAATTAGTGAAATTGATTCTGTCCTAAAAATGAACTTACTATTTTAAATTCTAAAGCTTTGTTAAACCTCAGGCAATGATAATGCCTGTGTTCTTGATATCTTACTTACCTATTTTATTACTGTGCAACTCTGTAAAAGTGCATGCAAAAATGCATTTAAATATATTGCCTATATAGAGCATGCTGCTAATTATCACTGTCTTGTAAGTTACCTTGTTGATTGTGTCAATCATAAAAAATGCACATTGATAGAACCTCTAATCAAAGTTTTTTGTTCAAAAAGATAGAGCACTATCAGTGAGATTAAGACTTAATTGATGCTTTTTCTTCTCCCAGTCGCAAAAGATTTACTTTTTAAATTCCAAAACCATGAAAATCAATGGCAATATTGATGTAAGTTCAGTTACAGGTGATAAATTTTATGAAGCAAACATTCCTGTATTTTAGTAGATGAAGATGTTTTTTCCTATATGTACTGAAATGTGAACTAAAATGATTTATTTTGGAAAAATAATGTTTGTGCACTTTGTTATTGTTAATTAAATGTTTTCAAGGAGTTAATGTTTCTTTTCTTTTCAAATTTTGTTGCTATTGTTAAATCATACCAGGTACCCTATGACTTCCAGGTGTACATACAATTAAAGAAACGCTTCACTTTACGTAACTTTACATACTCAATAAGATATGGAGGGGGAAAGCAAACGACCCATGCGGCTTTCAGTTTCCGTAAACAGTTTATTTGATTCGATTAGATGTGGTTTGCCTGTAAGGCGGGCAGCTCTTGCACTGCTGCCTGAGTCTGTGCAGGTGCTTTCAAAACGACCACGACGTCTTCCTTGGTCTTGTTGGCCATGGTCTGCTCCCCTTGCGCGGCCGGTACCTTGTCGTCGTCCTCGGCATAACGCCGATGCGCCAAGCAGCAAAGAACACCGCACACTGGGGGAAAGAATAGGGCTAAGTACTTTACCCGCCAAAGGGAATTCCTCTGAAGGGAATTCCCTCCAGAAATCCCACTACCCTGTGACACAGCGTCTATGTAGTGAATGCAAAAATCTCACCGATGGCTGTGCCAAACAGTAGCGTGAGGGGCAACACGCAGGAGTGCTCCAGCAGGTAACCCATCGCCAGGTTGCCGACGGAGCCGCCCAGCCGACCGGACAGCATCACGCTCGCCACACCCACCCCGCTGCAATAACAGGCAAGTGTCAGCACTTGGGTCTTGCTGGTCAGCTCAATGGGCTCTTATTGCTCCACCGCGGGGTGCACGCTCAACTCACCTGACGCGTGATGGGAAAATGTCAACGACCATGGTGTTGATGCCGATGCAGCCCGTCTCGGCCATGGCGTTGAAGAAGATGGCGACGGCGACCACCTCCATGGTCGCGGACGCCCAGAACAGACCGAAACCGACGAGTCCAGCCATGAGGTTGGCGGCGGCGGACAAGGTGCGTCGACCCACGTATCCGGTCGAGACGGTGGAGATCAGGTTGATGCCCATCGAGGCACAGTTTACTATGGCCGTGTTCAGGAAGGCGGAAGGGTCAACCACAGAGGAATCTCCGCAGTTCGTGTTTCCCTGCGAGCAGAAAGCAGACCCGTTTTGAAAACACCGCGAATGAAGGGTTGTCTGGTTGACGGCAGATGGGTGCCATACCCCAAGCTCCAGCGTGGAGTTTGATCCCGTCTCGGCGGCGAGAATGACATCGCACACGTAGTGCCTCTCGCCCGGGTGGGCGTTGGAGTGCATCTGGAACCGACTGAGCAGCTCGGGCAGCCAGTATCCGAAGCCGTACATTCTGTGGGGGAATGACAAAGGTCATGAGTGCGGGCGGACTACAGGGGTGCAGCCAAGTCAGCGGCGCCAGCGACACTCACACAAACATGCTGCAGAAGTAGATGACACAGCAGAGGGCGGTGCGGTAGAGCACGGGCGGGCGGATGAGCTCCGAGGAGAGCCTGACGGTCCTCGCGAGCACGTGCAGCACGTCCTTGCCGTGCGCCGAGGACGCGGCGGCCGCGGCGACGGGCAGGCGCAGGCGCTTGATCGGGTAGTTGTCCGGGTGGTCGCCCGTGTTGGTGGCGTAGATGCGGCGGTAGACCCGCAGCGCGTCGTCCTCGCGGCCGGCCGCCTGCAGGTACTTGGGGGTCTCGGGCATGTAGAAGGCGAGCGACGCGGCCACCAGGTTGGGCACCAGCAGCAGCCCCATGAAGAGGCGCCACGACTCCAGGCGCACGCCCAGCACGTCCACGGACCAGGGCTGCGGGATGATGACCCAGGCCAGGCCGGGCAGCAGGATCCAGGACGCGATCCACATGGTCCCCATGGCCTGCGCGTACGACGAGCGCCGCTTGTCCCCGATGAACTCGCCCAGGTAGAGGAAGGACAGACCCGCCGGCGCCATGTTCCTGCGGTAAGAGGAGGGGCGCCTCAGACTTGGGGAACAAGTCGTCTAGACGAAGCTGGACGGCAAGTCCACCAGTAGCGCCTTGTAGTAGTTCTGGAGCTGCAGTCCTGCTCTGTGCTCTGCTGGGTGGGGGTGGGGGGCGATGAGCTGCTCCCCGCGTCGCGCATCCCCCGAGTGAGCTGGCTGAGCACCCCTCACCCCCGCCACTCGTCAACAGTCAACCCGACCGCAATGCACACACTCACAGCATGCCGGCGAACAGGCGGAGCACGGCGAACAGGGAGTAGGAGGTGGCGAACGTGGAGGCCACGATGCACACGGCGTCCAGCAGCGCGGTGCACACCAGGACGAGCCGGCGGCCGTACGCGTCGCTCAGCGCGCCCCACAAGTGCGCCGCCAGCGCGCCTCCTGCAGACGACAGACAAACTCCAGGTGAGTCACCGCTCTCATTCCAGGAGACAGTGCAGACCAACGCTACACAAGAGTGAGGCACGCGCACCTCCGAGGAAGAGGGCGTTGAGGATGCCCATCTGCGAGTCGCTGAGCTGGAAGGCGCACTTGACGGAGGGGAGGATGTAGGCGTTGATGCCGCTCTCCATCCCAGAGGTGAAGTACACGAGGCCGGCCGTGATGAAGGCCAGGTACTGGAACTTGCCGTGCCCTGGAACAACGCGACTTGTTGGCAAGCCTTTCTTCCAAGACATTTCCAAAAGCAATCCATGGCGCTGAAAACTTACCGGCGGCCTCAACGGCTTCAGAAAACCTCGCCCCATCTCCTTTACAGCGACCGGATGTGACCTTCATGGTAGCTCGTCTAGTTTTGGCACTCTGCGGGAGCGGAAATCAGACTGCCTGAGTCGGGGATCAGAGGGGATGAGATGCAGTGTTAGTTGTAGAGGAAACATCTCTATACTATTTTTAAAGTGGCCAAAAGAAATAGGACAATGCTCTAATTTTTGTGAAATCGTTGTATGTGAGCAAACATGTCTCCCTCAAGGTACCCCGCAGTGAACGAGGGCGCCTGCAGCGGGATGGATAGGCCGACCCGCCAAGCAGCTGTGTGCAGATGGCGGCCCGCCCCGAGCGCCCGAGTGCACCAGCAGGAGCACAGCTCAGCTCGGTGAGCGGCCAAGGCAACGTCTAGGCGCACCAGCTAAGCGCGTGGAACATTTGGACCATAGCAGGACATCCCTTGAGGGATAGGACAGAAGTTAGAATATAAAATCATGTAATTAAATCCGATACTTACAATTTAGAGACAGCAGCAGCCACCCGGGTCCAGGCCAGGCCCTGGCTGTGTCCTCCTTCTTGTTTCTTCTGCTAAATCCTACTGTCGACTGAGACTGACTATGCGGCCAGGCGCCCAGTCTCTTAAAATCGGAATCGGGGCGTACTGTCCCTTTCGGGGAACTCGCGACCGCGACTCGCGTGCCAAAATCAAGACTCTAGAATCAAGAAACGAATGACTTTTGGTAAGCCGACTCCTCAGGCGCAGGCTGGACATGTACGCCTCCTAAACACACACTCACCAGCTGGGCGGTTCGTTAAGAAAATAGAAACAGTCCGGGTCGAGACGCGGCGAGCGTTTCAGATTGCGTCCCTGTCGCGGTGCGTCCACACCTCGACAAAGCGTACGCGGAGACAGCTGTTGCAGCAGCAGCTGGTGGCACTGGTCATAGCGCACGGGCTCGGCAGGCCGTCGGGATGGGCGCCATCGGCACTCGGACTCAAGGCGTCGTCGGCGTCCCTCTGTCCTCTGTCCTGGCCCTCGTCGTTCGCGGCTGCTGTGGGGTGCGAAACGGATCGGGGCTGACGACTGGCTGCTCCAGACGGGGCGGGGCGGCGTCGGCGATGAGGCGCTGCTGGGACCACTGGCGGCTCGAGACTGTCGCCCAGAAGTCGCGGGGAGTGCCCTTTATTAACGCGTTGAGTCACGGGGAAGGGGGTGGAG